CCCAATCTAAATTAAGAAAGGAGACAGACTTGTCAATTTAATGTAATGCTCATAGTAATTTCAGAGCAGGAAAGGTTTATTTGAGACTCGACTGTTGGCTTGGAGTCCAGGTGTTTACTACTACCATCTGTCTCCCAATCTAAATTAAGAAAGGAGACAGACTTGTCAATTTAATGTAATGCTCATAGTAATTTCAGAGCAGGAAAGGTTTATTTGAGACTCGACTGTTGGCTTGGAGTCCAGGTGTTTACTACTACCATCTGTCTCCCAATCTAAATTAAGAAAGGAGACAGACTTGTCAATTTAATGTAATGCTCATAGTAATTTCAGAGCAGGAAAGGTTTATTTGAGACTCGACTGTTGGCTTGGAGTCCAGGTGTTTACTACTACCATCTGTCTCCCAATCTAAATTAAGAAAGGAGACAGACTTGTCAACCACAGAAATTCGAAAAGCCTGAGACTTTTTGTGAACACTGCATAGCGTAATAAGCAAAACAGAGCTGTGAAAAAAATTTATTAATATATTCTTTAAATTTATGAAAGTTACTTTTTTACCCTTAAAAATTAGAGAATAAATCATTCTCTCTATTTAAGAGAAGAAAAAAACAGAATGAGTCACTGATTTAAAATTTTTCATAAAAAGTTGCATAACAATTTTTCTGAAACTCTTTCGAGTTTGCCTATCCAACAAATTCTCTAAAGTTTGAATTGACTAAGGACAGAATCAGGTTTGGATTTTTTTAATGAATTTAAATATTCTTTCACAGGTCACATCTGTGGCAGGAATGGTTAATACTGCCAAGTTTAACTATACAGGTATTACTGTACATCGCACTGTAAGTATTAAACTACTTTCCTCGCGACTGACTCTTTGTCATTTTGTTCAGTTTTAAAACAACTTGGCACTTTTAAACACAAAACTGAGCTTCTAGATTTTAAAAAAATCCAACTTTATCATATTTTCCTAAAACTTTCACAAACACTAAAAAACTAATATTAAAAAAACTTGCGCTTGAAAAAGAAATAATTGATAGATTATTTAAATTAGCCAATTTAGCGTGAAGTGTGATATATGCGTAATTAATGCAGTAGTTTGAATAAGTTTAATTAACTTTAATTAATTAGTGTTACAATTTATTTTGGTTGTTTAGACATTCCATGATAAAGATCCAAAAAAAAAAAAGAAAAAAAAAAGAATCAACAATAAACTAAACTACATTTTAACTACAAAATTGCTGACACGAAGGAAAGTTTTGAGGGTTGTTTGCAAGCTGGCACAGGTTCACTAAGAAGCTTGATGTCCTGAGGTTGAACACAAAAGTCTGAGAGTTGGCTGGTCTGTAGCATATGTGAGCATGTGCCAGTATTGTTCTGATCATCATTAAAAATGACTCAATATAAACTTTCTAATAACTTAATTTCAAAACTGAAACTGTAGCATAATCTGCCCATTAGCATTTTTAAATTACAACCCATTGATTATTAAAGCTGATACGAAGTAATGTAAAGATAGTGGCTTAATATAAATGCATGTTTTATCTAAAATAATTATTTGCTATAAAATTAAACAGAAAGCAGCAGTTTCAATAAAAAAAAATAACGAAAAAGTAATTTATACATACAACAGGAATTATTCTTTCAGAGCAAATATCAGTCACGGGAGATAAATTTTCCATCTGCGTTAGATTAAGAGTGGAAACAATTCTACTGATACCTAGTAAATTGTGTATATTTTCATTTTCTTCAAATAATCGAATCTGCAAAATATTCAGAGAATAATAAAGATAGAATATGTAAATTTTTAATAAACAGTATAAAATTGAACAATGATTGGTCAATATCAAATTATGTAATTTTTTTCAGAAAAGTCTAGCACTTATGAACTAATATAATCTTAACTCAATGGCTTCCGTTTGGATAAATATGTAACTTCTGAAACAAAAATGTTTAAATGATTCATGCAAAGATCTTATGAATGTGCACTATTCCTCTTTGAAAAAGTGCCAAATCATAAAATCATGTAGACAAACATCAAAATAATAATATAAAAAAATCAATTTGGAAAGTTAGACAGTTTTTTCATAGTGACAGAATTTAAGGGTTATCAATAGGTAATAGAACTGAAGATAAATCTGAATTTCTAGATGATCCAAACAAGCAATTAAAAATAAATCAATAAGAATATGGATTTCAAAAATTTTTTTAAGTGTAATTTGAAAATAAAAAAACAAAAATAATTTAAAAATATAAATTATTTTAGTTTATAATAACTTAAACTAACCTTTAAATCATCTGGTAATAATTTTAATATCCGTATAAAAAATTGCTCGATTCTTGAATTTTGTTCCTCTTTTAGGATTTTTGCCAGAGTGATGCAGTGTTTATATACATCATTGATTGAAAGAGATCTGCAGAAACACATATAAAGTTATGAATAAAAAGTTTTTGTGAGCATTTTTGGGGAATTTTATTAAAAGTCTTACCGTAAATAATACATCCATACATCTGATATTAGCAGAGAAACCATGTCAGAGCTTGAAGAAAAGATGCATAATAAATTTTTGTCCTGGAAAATTAATGGAAATTTCTTTTTTAGCATGACTAATTTTATATTGTTCAAATAACAGTTGCAGAAAATATTTTAAATACAGTATTTATAGTATAAATTCTATGTAAAAATTAATTGTTTTTGAAATGCCAAAACTTGAAACCAAATAAAAAAGTATCCATTAAAATTCTTTAATCAAGTCAGTTTGATTGTGAAAAAAAAAATGGATAAGCTTGATTAAATTTTTTTTTTTATACTTTTATACATTGTTTCTATGCATTGTTCACCTGCATAAAAAGTTTGTACAAATTGATAAAAGGAATGAAGTGTAAGGGATAAAAGGAATCATGAGTCAAATACTTTTTCTGTCAGCTTCAAAAAAGAAATAACTTTCAAGACGGTTAGAAAAAATTCCTAGCTAAATTCGAGGTATTTTCGAAAGAATAGGCTTTTTAATGTTAGACTAATAATTTATTAAAAAATTTCTCAATAAATTTTAAATCAGGGCTTTTAATAAACGATCTTGATTGTATATGTATATAGATGATTATATAGCATAAAAAATAAAAAAGTTAAGTTGTTAATAATCAAAATGATCACAAAGAAATACTTACAAACAAAAAGGAAGAATCTGAACAATTTAAGAACAGTTTAGTATATTCAGCTAAGCAGGTATAACAGTGTTCGTATAAAGTTACTAAACTGAAAAAGAAAATGCAGCATTAGTAATAAATTGTGCCAGGTATAGTTTTCTTTTATGAACATTATATTTAAAAATTTCTAAATAAAATGTTAGTATTTTTTTTCAAACAATATGTTTATGTATATTTTAATGTATTTAAATTATTTTGTTAAGAGATGTTACACAATACAGGGTTCCCAATCTTTTACCAAAGCAAAAATTAAGGACTTTTTGGGAGGAATTAAAGATCTTAAAAATAGAATGATTGTTATCATAAAGTATACACATATCCCCAGTGATGGTGCCAATTATTTATTTTCTTAAAAATAAATAAATAAAAATGATAAAATACAATTTTATTATAATACAAGTATTGATGTATTTGTATTCATTACCAGGGTTTGCCAAAATGGAACCAGGCAAGTTTTGAGAACAGAAGTGAGTTTTCTCTGGTGGGGCCATTAGAACTTCCTTCCAAGTTGGATTTTTTCCAATTGAGCTAGATTATTTTTATTTGATTAAAAACAACAATTTACTGAACTAGATTAATAGGTTAGAAAAATAATTTTCTTTAGAGCAAGACTTTAAAATAATTGAAGATAAATTAACTTTCTAAATAGTTCAAGAGCATACTAATGTGCCTTGTCTGCTAAGGTAAATTTCGAAATTACCCCCTCCAGTGCCAACGGTTTTCACAGGGGCACGCAGTTTTGGTGAGCATAGGAGAAAAAGAAAAGGCAAGCTTTTCAATCTAAAAACTATTTTTTTTTCTTTTACAAAAAATAAACAAATAATAATAAAAAACATTGAAGTATAACAGTATTAAAATAAAAAATTTGCCGTAACGAATGTAAAAAAGTAACGCGATATTCCGAAGTCCCTGACTACAAAGATGAAGGGGCACGTAGTTTTGGTATGCATAGGAGAAAAAGAAGAGGCAAGCTTTTCAATCTAAAAACTATTTTTTTTCTTTTACAAAAAATAAACAAATAATAATAAAAAAACATTAAAGTATAACAATACAATAATTAAAAATTTGCTGTAATAAATGTAAAAAAGTAATGCGATATTCCAAAGTCTCTGACTACCAAGACGAAGAAAAATAGTCATCTAATTCACTCTCAGACATATTTGCACATAAAATAAAAAATATTACTACGCATGGAGACAAAAACGGGAAGGAAAGAAAAGTAAAAAAGTGCATACAACTCAAGCCCAATTAATAACTGAACAGCTGTGATTTACTTTTCCTTCCCTCCCTCTCCTAATCCATCGAAAACACTCTCAAGGGCATTAAATTGCACTCCAAAGCTGTGGGAGTAGTTTTACTGATAGCAGCGCATGGCAAAACGCATTGCACTCTTCGAAAAGGCATATATATACGTCAGGGGCAATATGAATCGGCTTAGTGAAGCAAGGGACAGGCAAGGAGTTAATTATAATAGAAAAGTGAAGTATTTGTTGTTCAATGTGAAACATTGGGGCTCTTAAAACTTTACAAATATTGTTTAATTCATATGAAATTATAATTAGTGTTCTTAAAAATAAAATTTCCCTTGCAAGTGCTTAACTCCTAGTATGATACTAATTTCGAATTTTTTTCAAATATCTAGACTGATTACAGTGATTGAAATTATAATTAAATCCACCCACTTCATTTATGAAAAATTATCAGTTTTTATGAAATGAAATTATTTATGTAGCTTGAAAATGTTACTGAACTTTAACACATAATAAAAAAATTAAGTTTATACGTTATTATAGAACATATAAGTATGTTGTTATATATTTGAACTCATAACAGAACCAATGCCGACACATAATAAATAATATAAAATAATAATAAAATCTAAGTTTGAATTTAATTCTAAAAGACTATAAAAATTTTGAGGTCTTTTAATTGAGTAGATTAAAATTTTTATGTCATAATCCATTTGTCTTTAAGAAATAAAAATAATAATGCAACCATCTAAAACCTCAAAAGTAAATTTAAAAAATTGGTTACATGACAACAAAACAAGTTATACATGTAGCTACCAAAGATTTAATTTTCTTGTTAAAAGCAAATCATGCATTACTAATTTTTACTCAGGAAGAAAAATTTAAAGTATTTTTTAAATAACATGAGGTTTTCGTCCAAAGTCTGATAAAGAATCTAGGTTGGCTGGGATTTTTCAAACTAAATTTATTACTGTACAATTAGGAATTTTTAAAAATGTTACTGTTTTCTATAAATATACAGTTACTTATTATACATTGAAATATTGTACACATTTATTTAATTCTTCAAGTTTTTTAGAAAAAGTTTCCATAGGGATTTAAGTGAAAAAAAAGTTTTCTGTTATTTCTTTTCTTAGGGCTTTACTTCATTTCTATAAGCATGTGCACTACCAGTAGAACTAAATTTGTTGCATTCTGTCGATTTCTAAGGTCAATGTGGGCCTGTTACTTAGGTAGCTTAGAACTGTTCCCCCCAAAAAAAGCATGATCTCTTCAACGTGCAGTATCCCCCTTGTCCGCACACTATTCTTTTCTTTTAGAATGCTTCATTCTCCTTATAGAATATAATTCTAGGCAAAAGGAAGAATATATTAATGAAAGAAGAACATGCTTTCTTCACCTTGCCTGTAGCCCTTACACATATTTCTTCTTGTCTCTATAAAATGCTTTACCCTCAATGCACAGTCTCATTCGAGGTGATAAAAGAAGAATATTTTGTTTTAAGACTGAAAAATTGCTTCTATCAACTATAGTGATACTGAAAACTATGGACTTTTGAAAACCTTGTACCAATAATAAGTACTTTTAAGGTCCCATATTTTTTAAAATAAAAAAAATTAAGCAGTTTTTACGAACCCGGTAATAAAAATGTACTAAATAATAAAACAATATCAGGTTTATTTGTAACAGAAAAGCTTTATAAGAAAAAAACTTAACATACATAGACCACAGGATACGAAATAGCAGGGCCTAATGGGGTGAAAAATTAAGCAGATTGTACAGTCTTCACTGAAACTTAAATTGACAGCAACGTCAGAGATATATTAAATATTTTATTTTCTTCTATGTAATTTTTTACATGATTTAAAAACCATGACAATACATTTAGTAGAGCATAATATGCTTATAGAAAATGATAATGAGATTCTAAACACTAAAATTGAAGTTATCTTATGACCAATCTCAATATATGTATTAAAATACCATTTTTATAAAAAATTTAAAGTAAACAAAAAATAGAAAACAGTTGTGACATACTTTGGGGTTTCTTTACTGGAATCTGTCATTAAAGTGGATGGAATTTTTAAATATATAAGTTTGAGGTCATCATCAGGAGTGTCTATAAAAAAAAAAACAATTCTGACATCAATAGTTCAATAATTTTTTGTTTCCCTGGTCTAAATTTCCAGGTAATTAGAGGTAAATTTATAACCAACTGTATAGTAAAAAAAATAATACTTACTCTCTTTAAGAGTTGAAAATACTTCAATAAGAAATACATTCTTCTGAAAAAGTTGAAAATGTTCTAAAAAAAAAAGTAATTCCAAATTACATGATTTAATTATAAAAAGGTAGAAAACATTGTTTTCAGAATAAATTGATAATTATTGAAGTACTAATTACTCATGTTATCGCTTTATTATCACTCAGGGGTGATTGTGACACAAAGTAAAAAGCCTTGAAAATTTTATGTTCAAAAACTCGATATCAAGATATCAACTTATATATACTATGCATGTTTAATATATTTTTTGAACTAAGATTTATAATTAAATTACCTACATATGAAGAATATCATGCCGTTATAGTAACTAATTTAAGAAAAACCTAGTTCTTATAAAAATCGCGATATTGGATTTTAAAATCGTGCGTATATGAGTTACAATATTGGATTTTAAGAAGGCAAAAATACAAGTCGCAATATAGGATTTTTAAATCGCATAAATACAAACTGTGATAAAAGATTTTTAGATTGCGTGAATATGAATCACAATGTACGACTTTTAAATCATATATAAATACAAAAATCGATGTTTGATATTACAAACGCGTGAATAAGAGTCGCAATATTGGATTTTAAAAACGCTCAAATACGAATCGCGATATAGGATTTTCAAATTACGTGAATACGATTCACAATGTGTAACTTTTAAATCAAGTAAAAATGACTTTGTTATTTAAACCACATGAATATAATCGTGATATTGGCGCATTCCAGCGTAGTTTCAAATATTAAAAACAGCAAAAATCCGTCAAACCATAAAAAATCTAATAAAATCTAATGGGTGAAATAATTATATGTATGAAAATGATTGATTGGTGTATGATTTAGCGAAAGTTTCGCAATTTAAATTTTAGATTGCAAATTTGGTAAAAATTTCTAGAGATTATAAGATTTCATTCGTCAAAGTCTGCGATTTAATGGCCTTAAGAGACACGGAATTCCGTGCAATTCGCAGAAAAATCACACGCGCAGCTCCTAGTTTTTAAACTTGGAAGGATGATACGAAAAACCTTTAATTACAGGGTACACCCAGAATACAATCACCCCATGTCATTTGAAAAGTAGTAAAATCTTTACACACATATTTTTAATTGGAAAATTAAAAAAATAAATAAATTGAATTTATTAAACATAAATGCAAATAATAGGACATGAATAGTTATTAAATATAAAAAAAATATATGCAAAAGAAGAAAAAAAATTTAAATACAAAAAAATCATGAATAAATTCCAAAAATTGAGTAACTAATTTAGGGTCTTGTATAGATAGATCAGTTTTACTTACAAACCTGGATAAATCAGAAATGAAGAAGGGCTAATTTGCTGTTCTTGCAACGAAAGCATAATAACCATTACTTTAGGGGAAAATATAGAAACCAAATAAATTGAAACAGTATATAAATGCAGTAAAAAAATAATGAAAATTTAATTATGAGATTTATTGACAGATAGAATTTTAATAATTGACATTTTAACAAAATATAACACAATATAAAACAAAATGTTAGTGAGAAAACAATCTAAAATGATAAATATAATAAGAAGCTATCTCAAAACAGAAAAATCTGGCCTATAGTAATTTTTATATGAGAAATTCAACTTATCAAAATTTATTGGGAAAATGTTTAATTTATTCTGAAAAAAAAATCATTTAAGAGTTGTTAAAAAAAATAAAAATATTTCATTATGTAAGACACATAAAAAACATACCTGGGTACACTTTTAAACAATCTAAAGCAGTCAATTTCAGTAAAATTAAAGGTACTTGTAAATCAGGGGATATATCTGTAAAAAGATATGAATATTTAAAATTTAGATAATAAAAAGAGATAAAACACAGACATTCAAATTTAGAACATTATCTTGCCTTCAAAGAACTCAATGTCATCAAATACATAATCCAAAGAGTTATATGGGGCTGGTCCTGTTATTAGAATGAACAACGAACGCTCAACACAGAAACTACTCTTGGCCAGGCCTTCTGGAACAAGAGCTAGGGGCCGACCCAACCTCAGATGGGTTGATTGGTTATGGATCTTGCCGTTTTAAGAATGATTAATTAAAAGACCATGATCAAATATAGAGTGGACAATAGCAAAATTATTGAGAAGGCAAAGGCCCAACCAGAACTGCCCTGCCACTGAAGAAAACAAAGAAAAAAAAAGAGAGATAAAATAAAACATAGTTGGAGAAGAAAAAAAAGTGTTTTCATGAAAATTTTAAACTAGTATGGCAAATACAATTATTTACAGAAAAAAGATATAAATCACTTTATTCTTGTAGATAATACAAATTTTAAATGAACTGTATAAATTAATCTTATTAAAATACAGCATTTAAATTTTTATATGCAAAAGTAAATAAATCAGTATTTTCATATCTGTGACTAAACTTTTCCATAATTTATTAAAATATATAGTTTGAAAACTATATATAAATCATTTCATATAATTGACCTTTCAGTTACAGTTAGTCAGGTGAAAAAATTCTCCTCTCCTTACAGCTCTTTCTTACAGAAATTCATCCCCCACTTAGTCAGTAGGAGGAAACTATTTTTACCAGTTACGAATAGGAAATGTTTTAATGTAATTTGCATGTCACCGCCCGGGAGAAGGCAATAATAGGATTGCAGTGTGCATCTTGGAGGGAGCAATAATAGGATTGTAGTGTGCATCGTAATGGGCAAATATTTTGGCATCTTTAGACATGTTTTGGCATACTTTATTTGTCATGTTAAACACAGAATTAAAAAAGTTAAAATAAATATTTTTTAACTAATTTGTCACAATATAGTAACATTTTCTCTAATACAAGACAAGCAAACATGCAATAATTATTTAAAAACTTTACTCATTAAAAAAAACACGTACTTGCATCTGAAAGATTATAATTAAATTGCTGCTAACGAAATTCTTAATTTTCTTTAATAAATAGTGCATTGTTAGAAGTTTTACTACTTTAAAATCATAAACTCGTTTATTGTTCTACATAATGCCAAAAAAGCAAAGCTATTAGAACTGCTAGCAATATACGTCATAAGTCTTTTGCATTATTGAAGATTATTTTATTTATCCGTTTGAAAAAAAGAGACCAATTGTAGACTTTTTTGAATATTTATTTTACTTGTTTTTTTCTTATTTTTTTAGAGTTACATCTATTACACACACACACACATTCATTCAAAATTTAAATGCAAATATTCTTAAACATAAAAATTTCATTTACAGAGGTAAGATTAATATTTTCATTAGATAAATTAATTTTCAAATATAGTTTGTTGAACAGAATTCATTAAGCTTAATGGTAGTTATGTAATCAATTTTTCATACATGGAATTTTGCTGTAAAACTATTTGGTATAGAAAACATACTCATTTAACTACATTATCTGTTTTTCATACAAAAATATGTGCTTTCATTATCGTGCCTTTACTTTTTTCTTTCAAAATAAATAAATTTGTTAATTGTTACTACTCTTAGCTTACTTTTAAGGGTCAATTTGTCTAGAAATGTCTACACCACAATAAAAAAAATAATGAATAAATAAAAAAATAAAATTAAAATAAAAGAAATGAAGATAAAAGAGGCTACAAACTAAGTTTTTGCACATTTGGTACCTTTCAAATTTCTGTTACGGTATGTATTTCATGCAAAATGTTTCATGTCATACCCAATGTTATATTGATCAGCTCTGATAAGTTAATGTTAAAATTCTATAATATTTCAATTCATTAATATTTCATGAGAACATATTTTGAAATATAAAAAATAATGAAATGGCACTGAAAATTTAAAGAAGAAAAGCAGAGATGTTTATCAATTTTAGAACAAATATATTACATAATAAAAAAAAGTGTGCCACATTTCTATTAAGCTTATTTTCGGACCTTATATTGGTAAAATAAATATCATTTTAAAATTCAGAATAAATTCATTTTCAAATTTTGTTTTAAAATATTATGTAATATTTTACATTATTAAATGCAAACTAATATTAGTTACCAGCTTAATTTTAAACCAATTCGTTTTCTTAATACTTTCCTTGAATTTTTTTACAAAACAAAAAGAATTATTTTTCTTCATTTCGATTTTATTTATTTATTTTTGTAAGAAGCAGGAAAGGTTCGTACCAAAGAAAGTATCTACTGAACTACAGTCTTTCACAACTTACACATCGCATATGAAAATGAAAATTTTAAAGTCACAGATTATAAGACACATCTATACAAGCTCTATTGACATAATGAAGGTAAAGCATGCATTTCCGTTTATCATGATACAGCCTCTTTGAGCTAACTATTAAAGATTGAGCTAACTATTAAAGATTTTAAAAATGAATGACCCCAAATATATTATCATTAAGAGCATACATTCCGGCAGTTAACACAATAAAAAGCAGGAAATGGCTATTCACATTTAGAAACGGCTGAAATGATTTCAGTATCCTCTCTCTTTCAGAGAAGGAATAATAATTTATTTTGAGCTAAGTAAGTCACATGCTGTGTAGGTCTTAATAGAAAGATTTCATTGGAATTTGAAAGAAAAATTTGTTGCAAAGAATATGGCAGCAGGAGGGAGAAAGACTGCTTTCTAAAAGTTGTTCACTAGTATATCAAATTTCGAAAAGTGGAGATAGCTTCAATGAGATTTAACTTGCAATTGAAAGTCAACCATTTAAATAGATGCTCTCTTATCTTTCCATAAACACTTAATTTTTTTTCCAAATAAATAAATGATATTAATGCTTTCTTTTTTTAAAAAATCTAGCAAGTTTTAAAAGTTTGGTTAAATAAAATTTCCAGTGAAAAAATTTACTCATGCGTCGATCTTCATGTGCACGCTAGATTCAGAATACGAAATGTGTAATTAGATTTTCTCTTTAACCTTTTCCAACTGCTTATTACTAGGGACGGCAAAATGTATTATACTCTGTTCTTATAACATAATAATCTTTTTGTGTGTAATTTTTAATAGTAATATAATTGAAATGTTCATCTGAATCTGTAATACAAAAGCAATACCTTTATAATAATGTTTATTTTTGAAAAATTTAAATTCATACATTTGAGATTTGTTGAATATTTAAAACACTTAGAACTCTTTCAAATTGAAACCACAAAACTGTTACATCTATGATTATTCCTTTGAAATTATAAAAATATTGCGATGATTACGAATATGCTAAAATAGTATTTAGCCTCTTAATTCTCCTACCATTTTAAAAATTTTTAAGCACTGTACAGATCATATTAGTAATACTGAATCTTCACCTGTTAGAGAAAAGGAAAAAATATCTTTTCATATTTGAAACCAATGCTAACAATGTATGTTATTTTAACTTATTATTAGATTTTCAGATCAGAATTTTTTTTTGTAAGTGTTATAATCTTAAAAAATGACAGCAAGTTCAATTTTTTGTCTATCAATACTAAGATATTAAACATTTCTGCAAACAGTCAGAGCAAAGATTTTTTTTTCAGGATAGAATTTTTAACTTTATTTTTTTAACTAAGCACATTTATACACTACAGGAAATATTAAAATAGATGACACAATAATGAGTAGATAAGGTTCAAATTTTTGAATAAGGAATTAACAAGTATCGATTTCTGCTTGAGTAAGTGGACTCACTCTACGTGGCATCTTGAAATATGAAAAATTATTCTTTCAATGAAAAAAGAATAATGAAATGCTAAATGTAAATATCAAACAAAAACAGCAATTTTTTTTAAAAAAAAAAAGAAAAAAAAATAAACAAAAAAGTTAACTAAAACATAAACAAAAACGCAAACAAAAAATTAACAAAAATCTAAACATACATTAAAGATAAGTAACATGAATGTAAGCGAAAAAAAACAAGCAAGAATTAAATTTGCATTAAAAGATTCAAAAAAATAATGTCATTGAAAATATCTCAAATGAAATATAACTAGTAGTTCAAAGGGAATGAACAAAATTGTCACCCCTCAAAACTCGCCAACTGATAACAACAAAGCAAGATCTTTCAGCCAATTCAAATAGAAAGTAAGCAAGCTTGCAGACTTTCCTTCCACAATGGAACCTAATTACTAAAGAAATGACAAGTTCAATGGTGGTCATTGATTATAAGGGGAAAATAATCACTGGTACAAGTGCTGATCCAGCATTGCAATGACAGTTTTTTTGACTAGTACAGCTGTATGGCTGCAAGCAAAGGGTTAAGTAATTAAGAGTAAATAATACTGTAACTGTAATAAAATATTTCTAAATACTTGTTTTCCTTATTTACAATCAGTAGGTTATTTTAGGTAACTACTTAAAGCACTACAAAATTGATTTGGGGTAAGCAGTTAAAATATTATCCATTTTACTTTAATGATAAGAACACAGCAGTAAAAAAATTTTAAATGACATTTATCAACTATATTCATACATTCAAATATATAAATACATTCATTAAATGATTTTAATTCAATGTTGAATTCGTTGCAAAGAAAAAAAATCAGACAAGAGGTAAATAATACAGAAGTTACCTTTATGACTAGAATGCAATGCTGATGTAAAAAACATACTATCAGAGAAAAAGGGTGTGATAGCATGCTTAACAGTTTTCAATAATATTCTTATCACGTTTAAATCTTTTGATTCAGCAGCAGAAAAAGAATGAGTCAATAGTAAAAGGCTAAAATATACAAATACATAAATTAAAAGCAGAAAAAAAAGCTTTTAATACAAATAGTCCTATCCTCAAGGACAAATTATAAGAAACATCAAATTACTTAAATAGATGTAAAGAAAGATTTCTGAGATGTATTATGCTTTCCTCTTTTATATGCCCACTGAACACTTGTATGATTTTCTTCAGTAAACTCAGTTCCATAATGCAGAGTTTAATTTCAGATTCCATGATCTAAAAATACGAAAGTTACATTAGACCAAATCTTTCATTAGTGTAAAATTTAATAAGTAAAAATTAAATTAAACATTACATTTTTTTGATCAAAAATAAATCAGAAATAAGAAGAAATGATAAAATGAGAAGAAGTTTATTATTTTTTCTTGATGAACTTACTTAAAACAGTAAAGGTTTCACTTTAAAAAAAAAGCACTCTGTAAGCATTTACGGGAATTATGGTTTGGTATAGCCAAATGAAAAAGAAATTTATATAAATTACTCTGTTTCTATGATACCGAAAACATAGAAAATAACAATAAAACTACATTAAAAAGTTTTGTAAATCACTTGGTTCTGGTGTCAATCGGCAAATTTTATACAAATGTAACTTTAAGTAGATGGAAGCATAGAAAATATCAATGACTTTGGTAATTTAAACTCAACATGAATAAAATTCTATTATCATAATAAATAAATTAATAAAAATGAAATAAATCAAATTGTAAGTTTAAGAAAAAAGAATATTTATCTTTATATTTGATTTAATTTAATTACTATGATATAAAAAAAAAAACTATAAACCTACATTAAAAATTTCAGTAAATCACTTTGCTTCTGGAGTTAACTGAGAAATTTTATGCACCATTTGTAAGAAAAAAAATCAAGACTTCAGTCATTTAAATTTCATCATTATGAATTAAATTCAAAGAATCTGGAAAAAAAGGTCAAACTGCAAGTGTAAGAAAAAAGAGTGTTTACTTTTTCATTTGATTTAATGCTATCGATGCATCGAGAAACAATTTCTTCTATGTTAAATACTAGCGGTAATAGGAAAACATCTACTTCTATTTTCTCCAAAACAACATCTTTATATTTTGACACAAGCCTAAATTAAAAAGTAAAGACAAGATGAATGTTACTTATGATTAAAAGACTTCTTTATTTTTCAAACAAAATCCTTTTAATGAAGAAAAGTCAAAAGCACAAGTAATAGGACTTAATACTTTAATGCATACAATTAAAACAATTTTAAATTTCTTTAACGATTTTCACACAAATTTTCCTTGTTTTTTCATACAAAAAAATTAACGGAAAAAATTCTAGATAAAAGTTGAGAAATAAAAAATAAATTTAAACAACATTCTGTTAGTTCACTTAGTTAGTTCTGTTAGTTCATTTTATTTTTACTCCAATATTATTATTTTTACTTTAAAACTTTGAATTAGGATAGGAAAACATTTGAAATGAGAAGGGGAAAAAAAAAAAAAAAAACGACACTTACTTTGAGAAAACTTTCCAAAAAATCAAAGAAATATTTTGGTCAATAGTTGATAATAGTTCACACAATTGTCCAATACCACGAGAAACTAAAATGATAGAGTTACTATCATTTTTGTCATAAGAATCGTTGGTGAGTAAAATGTCTAACCTTCCCAATGTAACCTAAAGATAGAAAATAGTTAACAATTCAACAAAATTTCAGATTTGCACAAATAAACTTCATTTCTCTTTAAAATATAAAGATAAATATAATTACTAGTTCAAGTTTAAATGATCCAGAGAAAGAGGCATTTGTTATAATACAATTATAGATTATAGAATATATAATTATAGATTTTAAAAGAATTATTGCTAGTTAATCAGCCTTATTTTCCTCAAACATTAAGGAGTTGGCCCGTTCAGGGAGGTAACTATTAACATGAACCAGCACGTTTCTATTTTTCAAGTTGGCAACAGTTTTCTGGATGAAAGAACACATGAATGGTGTTATGAACACTGACAAATCCTATCATATCTAGAATGGCTTGCAAAATCACATAATTTGAAACGGATGAAAGTTATGCAGAACATGTTGGGACATTAGATAAAACATTGAAATCAGCATTTCGACAATTCCGTAGAACAACCCCTCAGAGAGTGGCTTAAATTTCATGTAACATACCAGCAAAGCTTTGTGGGTTCATCATCTAGTAAAGTCTAGATCGTTATAAAGTCCAGACGCAGAGTTTTACAGTTGCTAAGAAGGATTAATTTTTGTCAACTAGTTTAAATTATCCTGATTAAATAAACATTAGACAAGTGCATAGGATTTCTAATGAAACACCACAATGTGATACATATGTTATCATATAAAAGATTAGTCTAGATGCATCACTATTAGTTGATATAATTTCTTATAATACACATGAATAAAACACATTGATTAATAGAAAGACATTTATTGAAAAAATTATTTTGTCTCTGTTTATATGTATCGTTAATTAGAATTAAAAATACTCAATTCATAGCATTTTTCTCTAGTCACTTCCCAGTTCATGAAATAAAAAATACTAATACAAACGTAAAATTGTGTCGAAAACTCAGCAAACAGATACAGTGAAACCTCCAGGAAAGAACAGCTGTGTAGAGACCTCCTCTACTTGCAAGAGGCACAGAATTTTTTCCATTGACTTAGTGATGAAGAAAACCTTTGGGAGAGACTATTAAAACCACTCCCAGCGACCGGGCAATGTGGTGAAGGTCAAATAAGGAAACACAAAACATCAAAAGAAAAAAAAAATAAATAACAATACAAATAAGTGGATTCAAATGCATCTAAATAATTTAGAGAGCTCTTTTTGGCAATTTCTAAAAGAGAATGAAAACATCATGTGGCAGTTAGAATGCATTAAAGATGATGCTATAAATGGTTTATTTTTAGAGTTGAAAGTTTAAAAAATTAGAAAAACAAAGTTATTTAAAAAAACAAACAAAAAAACTAAGCATATCAAACAAGCAAACCTCTTCTCATTTTTAAAGCTAATTTTTATGATAGAGTTATGCAAATTTAAACAAAAAAAATTACTTATTTAAAATAGTTCTATAGTTAAAATAAAAACAAGAAAGAGAAAAAAAGCTCTAGTAAAAAATGAAAAACTCATGAGGTGTGATAAATATTCATGAAAATCAAAAATCTACATTGCTTAGTATCGAAAACCAAGATGCAAAAGTGTAGAATTAATGTGGCCAATTCATTAGGATTGAAGATATAACCTTAAAATGATAATATGTAAAATCTAACAAAAAACAGTTTAATTATTTAAAGGACATATTTACTTTCTGTACATCTTGTATATTTTTATAAAAACTTCCCAATTCATTAGTAAACTCTTCAAAGAGTTCACCATAGAAGGTTTCGCTTACCTGGAAAAAAAAATACAAAAATAAGTATTTTGCAAAAGAATTATAAATAATTTATATAACTTTGACGCATCTGTTGGAAAACACAGATGATAGCAAGGTTCATGTCTTATATGTTGCTTTAAAACTGCTGCCTATTCACTGTAAGTTTGAAAAAGTTGTTTTACTCTCAAATTCCCAGACTGCAATCCAAGCAAGTAGCTTGCTAGGAAACCCTTTTTTTGATTAAATATTCTAGTATAGAAGCACATATAACTTTTAGAATAGGAGAACAAAAGTGTAATTATGGAGTGGATATCTAGCCACTGTAGCATATACAGTAAAAAGCAGGCTGATTTCCTTACTAGGAAGGGTACTCAACTATTTTAACCATATTGCTCTGGGCTGCCTAATCACCCTATAAAACTTTGTATAAAATATACAACAAAATGAGGACCCTTTCTTGGCTACGAGAAAATATAAAGAATAAGAATTTGAGTGAGGCAAACATAAAAGCAATACTAGATAAGCCTTATTGAATAAAGTTGCTCTTTTTTGTCACCTAACAGGCCATAGCCCTTTGCATAAACATGATCATTCAAACTGTCCTCTATATGACATCCCCCCCCTAAAGTATAAATTAAAAATACCTCCATCGCTGCAAAATATAAGACTGCAAGATATTAGCATGATAAATAGCTTCTGCTTTTCTTCTTGTGTACTGATGTTTTTTATTTTTATTTTGTGGCATATGTTTGCATTTCCCGGAGTTGGAAAAAAAATGTATATAACATGAAATCAAATTTAGGCTATATTTTCAAATGATGAAATAAAGACAAAATCAGCCTAAATGTTTTTGCTAAGAGATATATTAAAATTAGCTTTCAAATTTTGCACAAAGAACTATATATGTAGAATAACTTTTTACTCAAGTATTGATTATATATTTTATTATATTAAAAAAAATGATTCTGGTTAATTAAGATGTTTTCTCAAAAACTTGTTCTTTTTCACAATTAAATTATTATTTTTGTAAAAAATAAGATAGATTATGAAATTTTTTAAGGTACAAATTATTTAACAATTGTACTAAATTCAAAATTAATAATCACAATTGAAGACCATAAAAATGAGGGACTTTGTGAAGTTGTTTATTCATAATAAAATCAGGTTTTATATGCCTTATCTTATATGCTTTGTGCCTTATATTATTCCCTTTCCTATGTTAGCATTTACAAAATAATAATAAACATAATTACTTTACAGTGATTGTAAGCTTGATGAAGTACAGATATTGATGTTGGAATAATTGTTTTTGTAGCATCAACAGTTTGAGGGCATTCCAAGTACATAAGCAGAATTTTCAAACAGATTTTAGCAGTCTAAAATAAAATTGGAACACTTATAAGTAAATAAATACAAAAGAAATTCAGAAATAAGAAGCTACTTAAAGACATTATGAGTTTAATGGAATAAAACAGTTTGCATACAAATACTGAAGATGGATAAATTCTTTAGTAAGAACAGCTAAATAAACTCCAGCAAGTAGTTTATAAACTGTTAATTGCCTATTAGAATTGCTTGATAGGAGACAATTTAGTAAAAACAATGAATTTAAATTCCTTAAAATTAACTAATTGTTGATCTTTGCTTTGTCTGGATAACAAAAAGACAATTATTGATTAAATTGTCAATATGAACAATAAGTCCAGAAAATAAATTCTTATGCTACAATTGATTAAGAATAATTTTTGGTGCATAAAGGGATTAGGTACTACTTATCAATTTTTTCACATCCACTAAGAATTTTTCACTTAAATTGACAATTAGTACATAGTTTTAACAGTTGCATTTCTCATAGTCTTTACATTATTAAGGTCAAGGTGGGTAATTGTGAATAGATTTGAGGTATTTGATGGAAAATGCCAATTCATTACTTAACAGAAAGAGTTACTAAAAATTGGATTAGAAATGTGAGATTCAGCATATTTTAAGTTGTATATTAGTATTGGCAACCAGTATTGGTCAATTTCAACAATATTAAAGTGAGATCCAAGGTGGCTCAAGAGATAGAGTGCTTGTGGTGAACAAGGTTCGAATCCCAGCCAGGACAGGTCGATACGAATTTTGCACTTGGCTTGAACCAACCACAGTGCCGATGTAAAATATCCTCAGTTGTAGGCGGATCATGGGTTAGAGATTCCTTGTCACCAGGCTAACCATGAGAAGTTTTCATAATTTTCCTCAACATGTAGCACAAATGTGAGTTAGACCCATCAAGAAGTCCTACACAAAGGCAAATTTCTCCCAATACTTGATCCAGGCCTCCCTTGCCTTCTGGGTTGGGTACAAAATAACGAGGCTACTGAGTTGAACATTATTCGCCGCAAACCCAAAATTGGGTCAGCTGTTCAACCACAGTTATAAAATAAAATTTTAAAGTGTCCATTAGGTAAAACATGAGAACCATTAAAATTATTTAAAATATACCTTTAGATCTTTGTATATCACTTCTCTTTCATTCTGATCTTTTATTAAGCATGGATCTATCATAAAACAAGATGAGAACATTTGAGGTACCTAAAATAATTTCAAGAATTTGCATAAGTTTTTGTATATTTTCTAAAATGCTAAAAAGGTAACTAATTATATAAATTAAAAATTCTTTAGAAACAGGAAGAATTATTTAATCACCAATGAGTACGCCATAGATTTTCAGAAGCAGTCTTGATGGTTGATCTATATTTAATATGAAATCACTTTGATGCATATAATGCTGTTGATATTGAAAGGTGCAAACTTCATTAAGTTCATGGATAGATCTTGGTTATTTATGTAAACTTGAAGGAACTTGTTAGCCATAGCGAGCCATCTTGTATGTGAAAGACTGACATGGCTTAATGACACTAGATTAGGTGGACATGTACCAGAAAAAGCTGATTAGGTTACATTGGATGAATATTTTTGATATGAAATTAAAAATATAGTAGAAAAATTCTGAAAATATTCAGTGGTAAAATTTCAAACAAAGCACGATTTTTAGGATATAAATTTTTTTTATTTAATAGAGAATCTTATTTGCAAGACGATTTGAAAACTTTTCAAAATTTTGTTGTTTTTTGTAAAGATTTTAATTTAAGCCTTTTGCAGGAATTGAAGATGGTGCATTAAAGTTCTGAACAAATTCTAGAGGGACATAATAGTCCAAATACAACTTTTTTTTTCCCGTTTCAAATATGGAAAACCTTTCTCTACTCCACTCTATTATTCATATATAATATTCATTATATAAATTTGTTTTAACCGAGAGAGAAATATATGTGAAAAAATATGACATTGAATATAATCAGTAATAAGACTTAAAATAGTTAAATAAACATTTTTATATTATATACCTGCAAAATATAACTAAAGTGTGTATTGCTTTTAGTCAGATCTTCTTTTGTGCCATCAAAATATGCTTTCAGAAAGGAATGCAACTCTTCTGTAATAATAATGATGATAATAAAAAACATACATTTCGTAAAATTGAAAAATGGAAAGTTTTAGAGCATTACATTAATGAGAATTTTTTTTTAATTGAAATAAATAATTATCTTTCATATTCAAAGTATGAAAATTAATATAATTCTCGTTGAAAAGAATAGTGATATTGGCTGAACAGTAAACATATGAAAGGAATCAAATAACATTGAAAATCTAATCAAATTATAGAACAGAACTTACACAGCTATTAGACAAGAACAAAATAAAAAGGAATTCAGAAATAAAATCAGCTACTTGTACACAATGGATGTTTTAACTATTCATAATGGTTGAACAATCAATAATTGCAGCACGAACAACTCGACCAGCCTTTATGTAATAGCTAACTATTTGATTTAAAAGTATTAATTTGATATTCTATTGAAACATTAATGACTAATAACCCTCTGAGCACCAGAAAATATTTTATTTTTTATTAAATGTTTGTTTACAAGAAGTTAATATACAGGTATAAAAAGGTTATAAAGTCTTTTCAATAGAATTTCGATTTATTTTATTACTTTGGAAAGGATACATTTTTTGTTCTCGACACTCCAAAAACTTATGAAAAGCTTTTAACTTTGAGAATTTTATGATAAACTTTTAAAATTTTTTATTGATTGATTCAAAAATTTTCAACTGAGTTTATAGGATAGTGATTAATTCATTGATTTTAATAATTTCGTTTAAATTGCAGTTAATAACCTGATAAGTGCTGTTATTAAAATATTATCAGAACTTTAAATTTAGAACAATAATTTTATAAAATTACAAAATACAAAAAGAATAAATAAATAAAGAAAAAATAATAAATACCTGCTTTCTCATAGATATCTTTTGTACCACTAATTATCATCTAGTAAGTGCATTAAGCAAATTTTTATTATTTAAGTTATTTATTGATCTTCATAGTTTCAATTCATTGTTAATATATTGCTGTATAAGTTTTGATTATCAAAATTACATCAGAACTTAGCATAAGTCCGCGTTTGGCTGACCACCTGACCGGAACATCTGCTCCTGCACCCCAGAGCCCAAGGTCAAGAAAACTGAGATGGGCACAGTAGGCCTTGGCCCTCAAGGGCTGTCTCGCCACTGAGTTTAGTAAGTATTAGTATTTTCTCTAAAGTGCTGTAAAATAAATTAAAGCCCTTCTGAAATGACATTTTAAAAGCTTTATAATTGCTTTAGATAAAAAGTGCACAACCTTTTTAAGTGCTACTTGCACAACAGGTTGAATAAAGTAAGGCCACACACATATTTAGACATGTTGATGGCAAATAAGATAATTTTTATTATAAACATTAGTGTTCCAAGCACAAATTAACAGTAAAATTGGTAATATATTTACAGAAAATTAAATATTTTTAATAATTAGAATTTAATTAAAAATGAAAGTAATAAATTTCTTTTAAATTTTTCATTTTTATCAAAAATTGATTTATTAAAAGTATATATATATATAGGAAAAATATATATAAGGGAAAAGGAATGGGTTACTTTTAAATATATATAATACAAAAGTTCATTTTAAAATCCTAACAAAAGAGAAAAAAAAAACACTAATGTTCACAGAATAAAAATAAATACATATTTTAATGGGTAATATAAAGTTAAACGAAATATTTTAATTAAAAGAATTTACAGGGTTTCATGCAAAAACTAAAAATCAAAACAAAGCCAGTATATAGTACAAAATAAGATTCAATATTTATTTGGTATTATACTTCAGAAATCATTGCTATTTCTTGAATTATTGGAGGTTCTATTAATTTTAAATAAAAAAAAAAATGTTTTCTTTTTCCTTTTTCCTAAAAACATCACCTAAGCTATAAAAATTTAAAACTACTAACAGTGAATAGCTTAAAAATTCACATTTTTCGAATTTATCATGGTGTAATAACATTAAAATATCAGAATTCTAAATACCACACAGAAATGCAACTGACGAAAAACAGTGAAAAATAATTTGGATTTATGATGGTGCTTTATGACACAAAATAGTATCAAAAAGCTATTATTTAAATGCGTGATTAGAAACCCGCGTGTCGTAATAACATTGTAGTTAAAAAACAGAATAGTCAAAATCATGACAATAGCCTAAAAAAAAGACCCATTTACATATTTGATGAAATGAACACAAATAAAAAGCGCCAATAAGTAACTATTTAAAAGCATTGTGGGGAATGTAGAAATTGAGAATGCCAACCTTCATCTATCAAAAGATACTTCAACATTGAATCGAGTAAGCATGCCTTATACATTGGTGAGTGGTTGTTTAATAATTGCAGTGTTAGTTACACCATAATACTCCCTCACCAGAATTCTATCAGGGATAGAAATCGATGAAGGGATACTATTACTGCTGTATTTGCGAAAGACCGGGAGAGCTGTGTTAAATTCACCGAATTTTGAGCATTTAAGATGAGAGCTGTATTAAGTTCACGATTACGTCTGGTCTCTCTTGTGTTGTTATTAGCAGTTGAGTTTGTGCAGGATCCCGTTGTGTGTAAATGAGACTACGAAGAAACAGTGCAAAGAGGACGATGACACTACATATAGCAAGTTAACTACTAAATTTGTACAATCCATGGAAGTAGGTGTTACTTTCCATGTCGGCGAGTCCACATCACGTCCGCAGGTCATCAATGAGGGGAATGTAGAAATCAAGAATGCCAAGAATGGAATACCTCAAGATTGAATCGAGTTTGCATGTCTTATATTTTAGTGAATTGTTGTTTAATAATTTCAGCATAAGTTATGCAACAGCATCATTTAAAATTGGCATGTTACATTAAAAATTGGAATTTTTAAAACCAAATAGGAATGCAGAGCTATAACTGCCTAAAAATTATTAAAAAATAACTTGAACTTACAGCACAAAAAAAAAAACAGCTCAAAAAGTTATTTTTCAAATGTGCGATTGGAAACTTGTTTATCGAAATAATCTCTTAGTGAAAATACAGAATTTTCAAAATATTGACATAAAGCGTAGTAATAACAACCTAAAAAAAAAATAAATTGATTTACGATGTATTCGGTACAGAGAAGCCATGTGAAAAAGGGATTAATCAAATGCACAATTTGTAACTCAAGAGTTGTAATATTGTATTAATTGCATCAGGATTTTAAAACTCATATGGGAATTAGTAGTTATAACTGTAAAAAAAATTCTAAAAAATCATCGAAAAGTGGTTATTAATATTGGATTTTTTAAAAAAAAATTATGAGGAAATTCCCGCAATAGAAGATGTGCAAATTGAGCACGTCCAAAAGTGATGACTCAAATGCGTAATCCAAAATTTTTTTATTTGCTAAATGTTTTTTTTTAAAATTGCGTTCAGAAGCTTCTGCAGGTCGCAAATCAACAGTCAGGTTGTGCACCTTTACCTTAGATTTATTAGAATGCAAACTAAGAACAAATTTAAAATTTAATGTAAAAATTTAAAAAAATTAATGACAGAAACCTTAGAGTTCTTTGAGTTTTAAAATATAATCATCAAAACAAAATTTAATCTATATTATAAATAAATTCCTGAATCATAAAGTAGATTCAATATTGCATTTTGTAATGTACATATATATGTTAAAATCAGGGCCGTCTTCATAGCATGCAGGGCCCCCAGGCGCAAAAATATTTCAGACCTATAACGTGTCATATTGTTTAAAAACAAACTAAAAAACTTCACGTACATAAAGTAAGAATTAAGATACAGTCCCTGGCCAAATTATTAGACGCGCTATAAGATTCTATGTAAAATTATAATTATCAGGTGATAATATATACAGCTTTATTGTTTTTATGTAGCTGAAACTGGTTTGCACTTGTTTAATTTAGTGTATCAATTGGTTAACATTGTAATGAAATATGTTAAAAATAAAAACAAATAGGATATATGAGAAATCTCCTGAACAAAAACCCATTACAAGTATGTTTAATTATAAAAGTTTAGCATATAAACTCATGCAAATCATGTCATTATTAAAAAACTACAGTGTGCCTATTAATTTGGCCTAATTATTATAATATAATATCTGATACAATAAATATTCTATATTTTTATAACACATCGTCTAATTCGTTGAATTCATATTATATATCGCTTAATTTAATCATTTGATACACAAATGTAAACAAGTACAAAACGGTTTCAGTTGAGTAAATATAATAAAGCTGTATAGTACCACCTGAGCAATTAAGATTTTACATAGAATCTTATAGTGCGCCTAATTTGGCCAGGGACTGCATGATTCAATAATTTTAACTCATTTTGATTACCACAAAAACTCAAATAAAGCACTTTTAAACTTTGCATAATTTAAAAAAAATTAATATGCTAACCAGTTGTAATCCTCATATAATAAAATAATTTTAAAAACCATTAAAGTCAATTAAAATAACTAAATTAAATAAATATAAAGGTATAATAAATCAAAAAAAAATATTCAAAAATTACGAATTATTTTATCAATCTAAACAGTTATTAAAACATCTTACAATGCCCAAGTACTTAAAATTTTCACGAGTGCCTAAAATTTTCATTGGAACAAAGAAAAATAGTTTTCAGTTGATTTTTTAAGTTTTCTTGGTGATAAACTATTCCAATTATTAGTGTTTGATAAGCAATCACTATTTGTAGGTGAAAAAATGCATACTTTATAAAAATTTATTTAAAAAAAAACATATAAGGCAATGTTTTTATTCTTAGCTTTTTTTTAATGCAATTTTTAAAAAAAGTAAGATTCTCTAGAGTCCCCGGGCATTGCCCTGGTGTGCCTACACTGTTTAAATAAGTGAGTTCAGCTATTTTTATGAAGAAATAAATGTCAATATGTATTTAAAGATAATATAAAAAAACACAATTTATTTAGTCTTTTCAAAAGTTTTAAAAAAATTGTGTGATATAATTATTGTAATTTAATTATGTTAGCCTATTTTTTAGTAGTTAATAATGATACTTTTCCTTTACATTTTAAAGAATTAGAAAATCTAACACCTTTTACACTCATATCAATTATTTTATTCTCTAAAATTACAGTTATAGGCAATTACAATTAAATCTTCTCAGGGGTTTGTCTAGGTTTTTCTGAGAGGTACCTATTTTGTGAAAATTTAGATATAATTTGTGAAAAATTAAAAATTATATTGAAAAATCAACACTAAAATTTGGTAAAAATATGGATTTATCGTTTCTTAAGGGATACAAAAAGAAAATTTTAAGAAAAAGTATTTTGTGAAACTATCGTTTTTCGTAAAGTTGAATTAGTGAAGGTACAGCTACTAGGCCTGGGCAGACCCCTGAAAACACAAATTATAAAAAAAAGTAGAACTATTGAAAGACATGCGTTTTTTTCCTCTGTAACAATAAAATGCCACCTATTTATAGCTCATCATAACTGATTAACACCAAATTTTTTTTGCAATTAACAAATGTGAATGATCACTTAGGGAAATATAAAAATGATTATTAAGAATCATCAAGAATTTTAATAAATAAAACATTTCATTGCTAAAAAATAAATAAATAAAGGATACAGCTTCTTCCTCTTCATCGTCATTTTCTTTAAAGAAATCCTCGTCAAAACTTATTTCTAGACCTTTAGACATTCTATAAAATAAAAACATATATATTTGAACTAAATTAAAATAAAACTGTCCAAGTAGAATATTTGATAGATATCATATTCATGAATTCATTATACTATTCTATCAAAATAATTTAGAATTCGGTTAGAAAAATTGAATAGCAGTTTTATAAATGTATGTTGCAGTTTTATAAATGTATAATATGACCAAAGATATAAAAACAAAATATGTATCGCTTGCTACTTTTGTCTTGATCCAAGGTATAAGTTAATTAGACAACGAAAGAAAAGGTATTTAAAATACTTTGAAAGATTTTCACGCAGACGACATTGCTATTTTTATATTAGACTTTTTCAGAAAATATAAGTTTTAGCAGACGAGAATTATTGTTTTTTATTTTGCAAAAATTTTGAGAAAAGCGCCAGAATACGATGCCATTCTGCAACTAAAAATATTGATTACAGGATGGCGCTAAAGATAAAAAATTCACCGTAAGACTTCCGGGTAACTACTTCTAAATTAAGAAGAAACGAGTAGCTGGAAGCTTTTTAATGTATTAAAAAGTAAATTTAGTAATGTAAATACTCGCTCTCAATTGTAAACACTAGTGCTTGAGATAAATAGAAATTCGTTATTCGCAAATAAAAATTCGTTAATTTTACTCAACTTTAGGGGTTATTAACTCTAAAAAGAATTGTGAGCATGTAAACTTTTCTTTATCAATCGTGGGTATTTATTTTTTGTAGTTATTTACTTTCTATGCTTCTATTCTTACTCTCTATATTTATTCTATGCCTCTCTTTTTATTATTGTAATGCATAATACATGTAAATAGTAATTTTTTGACTTTCATAAAACAGAATATTCCCGGGATTGCTACTATTTATACCTTTCGAGTTGGTCCTTTTCTATTATTTTTTTAGTATCAATCATTTTGTATACACTGTATACATTATTTTATATATACTTTTGTTTATATTATTTGATATACACTGATGCGGAAATCTTACTAAAATATCTTTAAATAAATTATTGCTATACATTAAATTGTAATTTTAAAACAGCTCATAATTTTTATTGAATTATTGTCAGTTTTTAATTTAAATGATGTATAATTTAATTCAAAATTTTTTTATTAATGGATGCAACTTTTTTTATTTTCAGACCAATGGATTTTACTATGTGCTCATTTACTTAAAGAATTCTTATTTTTCTTACCGTAGAATTGCTCACTAAAAATGAAGCCTCATATATGTTCAGCATGTAATAAAGCATTCAGTCATGTTGGTAATCTTCGTCAACATATGCTGACTCACACTGGGGAAAAACCTCATACATGTGATGTTTGTGGACGAGCTTTCACCCATGTTAGTAACTTAAGACAGCATATATTAATTCATAGCGGTGAAAGGCCACACGTATGCAGCGATTGTGGTAAAGGATTCACTCATCTGAGTAATTTACGCCAACACAGTTTAGTTCATTCTGGTGAGCGACCACATTCATGTGTCCAATGTGGAAAGAGTTTTAATCATCTGAGTAACTTACGGCAACATATTCTTACTCATTCTGGTGTTAAGCCACATGTATGTGCTATATGCAACAAAGGTTTCACTCATTTAAGCAATCTCAAACAACATAATTCTTCACATCGTAATGAAAAGACTCATCAATGTTTCGTGTGTAAAAATAATTTTAATTCTTTATCTGATTTACAACAACATTATATTATACATGTGGCTGAAAAAACTGATTGTAAATTGATTGGGGTACAATCAAGTATAAACATCATTCATCTATAAATTTTGTTAATATTGTATAGAGAAATAGCTGCCAGAATTTAATTTGTATAATGATTCATTAATGTACTTATCAATAAAATATTATTTGCATATATTTGTCCTTGTTTTTATGAAAGTTTTTAAGTTTAAATCATTATTTGAATCTTAGTTTTTTTTTAGATGAATAAGTATAAGAGATTTTTCAGGTGGATAAAATTAAGAACATTAAACTCTAGGGTTGCCTTTTTAATGTATTATTACTTTAAAAGAATTGATTTGATAGTTAGATATCATTCGATGTTTGCCCTATCCCTGCAATAAACGAACCGGTGAGACTTCTTTATTCCATGAAATTTTAAATTTTTAGTGGGCAGGTAATATACAGTGCTCCCATAATTATATACTTATAATTGTGCTCCCATAATGCTAAGTATACCTTATCTCCATAATCTACCCACCAACTTGCATATTTCTAATGAGCTCTCAGGGAATATTAATGATAAATAGTTATATAATGAGTCTATATTTCTAAATAAATGGGAACAGTGAGGAAAAGTTAAAGAAAAAAAAACTTTAAATCAATAAAAAAAATTTTTTTTTAATACCTTAATCTAAGTCTACAACTTAGGAGTATTTTTTAGACAAAACGAGATTCTTCTTTTTACTTGCTAACCAATTAAGAATTATGTTAATTTAAATTCCTTATTTTAAAACTAGTTAATATTTTAAAACAATTTTTGTTTAATATTTTCATTGAAATTTATACTGTTGAACTCAGTTATCACATTTTAAAATCTTCAAAACTTTTATAAATTTTCATAGGTTTTTATAAAAGATTACCTTTATATAACGAGTTCTGTTATAAGATGACCTTTAAAAGTTTTTATTTTAGTTAATACAGGCAAAAGTAAGGAACCTGCACTAAGATCCAACTGCTTATGTACTTTTGACTTTTTGTGCTTTAGTATATCAAACATTTAAATGAGTAAATGTCAAAATTTTAAGAAATGCTATTTAGATGTTTAATGTACCCTTGTCTGAAAATTAGTTTTTCACTATCTAACACGATGGTAAAAACCCTGTGTTTTTGATTGAGAGATAAATTGTGTTTTTAACAAGACTTGCAATGAATCAAAATATAATTAACTTTACCAGTCTAAAACATTGAAGTTAGTCCATTTATGTTTCTGTCATAAAAAAGGGCAAAATATTTTTTCTGTTCTAACAGAAATGAGTCCTTTTATTTTAGTAAAAAATAAGTTACCTGCAGTGCGATAAAAAAATCTTTTTCATCTTACATACAAAAATCTTTTGCACTCTAAAAACTTGAACACCTTCATGATTTACTTTATTTTCATTAGAAGCACTATTTAAAAATAAAATTAGTTATTTTTATAGTTAGTTCTAATTGACAAAAAGTGTCTTTTTACTGTTATCTTACTAATTCCAGTGTTTCAGCTTTGTGTGTGTTTGGTTCTCAGATTTTTAGTAATTTCTATTGATATCAATTCATATTTTCAATTTTGTTTGTGCACAGTTACACACTATTTTTTGTAACATTAGGTAGGTAGGAATTTTATTTACGTCGCACTAGAGCTATTTGCGACACAATAATCAGGGAAACAACCCCGAGGAAGATTTGAAGACATGCCATCAGAATTTTGATCCTTTGCAGAGTGAATGCCTCCTCCACTTTGGTAGCCTGATGACCTGTGTGCGAAGTCAAACACTTTACAGTAGAACAGTTATCAAAGACAGATACCTAGCACCCCCGGTCCCTACGTAGGCTGATCAAAGTGGTCACCCACCTGCTCACTGATTACAGCCAGTGATGTTTGACTTTAGTGTTCTACTGTGGTATCTTTACAATCAGTCCACTGCGGGACTTGTAACATTGAGATAATAATGTTACCTACAGTTTGAAATCAAATAGTTTGGAGTATTGATAAATAAAATATGTGTTTAAGTCAAATATTAATGAATTATGTATTTTATGACAATATTAATGAGGTATGTACATTCATTTTATTAGGTAATATTTTAAAGTGTGGCAGTCTTGACTAGGGGGAAATGAAAGTGCTACTTTTAAAATGATGATTCTTGTATTTTAATGCAAACAAAAAAATCTCTAACGTAGAATCTCAGGGGTGATTGTGAGCCCAACTCAAAAATCCTGAAAATTTCTTGAGTAAAATCATTAATGATGCATTTATAAAAAAAAAATTGTCTTTAAAAATTAAATTCATTGATATTTTCACAACATGAAATTCTAAATAAATTATATGCAGCATAATTTAAATTAATAATTTTGAATAAGTTTATTTTCACTCTAATCATGTTTATTATTCTACCACAAAAAATATTTACAAATGAAAGAGATGCCAAACATAAATTCTAGTTCCAGTATTAGTTTTTTAAAAAAAATATACAAGAATTTTTATACATAAATGTGATCAATGATTTCTTGAAACTTCTGGACCTTAGATTTCCGAATTGCGGCAAGCGAAAAATTCGGATTTTTTTCGGAGCACAATCGCCTCTGCAGTTTTAAATCTTAAAAAAGAATTTCAAAGCTTAAGGTACCATTTTAAAGACCAACATAAGGAGAAATTACAAAAATAAAAATTTCTTTGATGTAAATTTTTTTAACTGTTCATCATCACATATATACAAGGCCACTTCTTATGTAACATAAATATATACTATTGATTGTATTTTCAAAAATATTTAAATTCAGAAATCAACTGAAAGCCATTATTTTGAAACTTAATGCAAGTCCAAAATACTTATCATAAATAATTAAAAGTTCTGCATTGCAAATATTTTTAATCAATATTTCAAGTGACTCATTGACCATTACATTTTAGGTTACTTTTTCACAAACCAAATACTCATTATTACTTACCTATTGTTTTAAGAAAAACTTCAATCGAAGAATTTAAGATAAAGATACCAAATGGAAAACATATCTCAAAAAATAAATTATAAGTTTTTATGCTCATTGTATTATTACATATTAGGCTACTTTTTCATAAATTTTAAAAATGACTGCCATTTTCAAAAAAAAAAAAAAACACTTTTTTATCTTCTTCAGCATTTAATTTTTGAGTTGAACTACAATCACACTCGAAATTTCCTATTTGAAAATTTATTTTGACCAATTAACTTGTTTAATTTATCTAAATTTAAATCAATAATGATTCATAATTTTTTAAAAATTTATATGAAATATCAGGGGGATTTTTTGAGATTTCTAGTTATTGAGGGGGACATATACTAACCGTCCCCAGCGCAGTCTATGTCTTAAAAATTTACAACTGAAAAGCAGAGTGTGAGGAATAAAATTTATAGCGAGAAACAATTATTTATACTAAAAAATTAAAAGCTTCATGTTGCAAATTTTTTATAAATTTTAAGTGTCTATAGCATTATTACATATTTGGCTTCCTTTAGATACTAGTTTTTTCCTAATAATGACTGCCATTTAAATATAAAGTTACTACTTAAGAAGCAAATAACTCAGAAATTTACAAATAAAAAGCAAACAAAAGTGAAAAATCACTTAAAATAGAAAAAGAAAATATTTCAAAAATTAAGTTTTGAAGCATAAATAATTTTAATAAATTTAGGAAAATTGCATTAAATCACTATGTATTAAGATTTTATATTATTTTATTATATTAGTTTTCATTATATTATGACTGCAATTTAAGAAAAATTTACAACTTGAAAACAAAGTTTAGCTTAAAAAAGTATTTTAAAGATGAACATGAATAGAAAATAATTTTCTTTTAATTTTCTGCATTGCAAACGTTTTTAATAAATATTTAAAGTGTCTGCTGTATTATTATATATTGGGTTCTTTTTCTTAAACGTAACTGATTATTATTGACTGCTATTTTTAGAAAAACTAAAATTCAAGATACAATTTTAAAAGATGATCATGCATCGAAAATATTTATCTATCCCAAATGTATAATTTAATTATAATTAACGATAGAAACTGTTTTTAAAATTATCAATAGCTACATAAGCAGCCATTATTAATTAACACTAAACGTACCATAACTGGTTAAAATACCAGTTATTGTATTTTAAAGTGTTGGTATGTTTAGTGTTAATTAACACATTTATTTTATATCATGCATGAACCATAATTTATAAAATACCAAAAATAATTACAATGAATTTTCTTTTCATTTAATAAATTCTATATGTAAATATACAAAAAAATCTTAACTTTTTAAAATAACAATGAAGAAGAATCATTTTTTATTGAAAGTTTGGCAATCTGTATATAAATGTATGATGAATACCCCACAGATAATGATTGAATTGTACTAAATTATTTTATTTTTACATACATTTTTAAACTCACTAATTTTAACATAGTTGTAGATTTCATAGAACTTATATTTTAAGAAGCAGGCTGTTATTACACAATAAAGAGAATTTCAAAATACAACAAATATTTTATTTGTTAAAATATGAGCATTTGAGACATATTACATATAAAGTCAATATTATACAGAATAATAAATGCTAATACAAAATGATTGAAACAAAAATCAATCATATTTGCAATCATAAACAAAATAAAATCTGAAACGGTTTATTTAATATTTGATGAAACTTAAAAGAATAATGAAAAATAAATATTTGCCTTTAAAATTTTTGATCAAATCTTAATGTTAATGAAAAAATTTTTGGCTCTCGAGTAATTATATTATCAAATCAAAATAATGCTTCCATCATACTAGACATGCATTGTGTTAAGATTACTAAATTATCTAAAAACAAAATGTTAATTTAACAATTATAAAAATAAAAAAAAAAAAGAAAATGGAGAATATATTAATATATATAAAAGATTTTATGAACCAGAAAAAGAATTTTTACTGTAACAAATAATTTTTAAAGTAATCTTAAAATAAAAATATTTTTATAACAGATCAGAAAGTATACATTGAAAAATAAATATATTTTCTTAAAAAGATTAATACTGTCCAAAGAACTAAAAACTTTTAATTGAAAAGGTTCAATAATTATTTTAAATATTTTCATATAATTGTAACACTATTAATAGTGAAAGCAATAAATAATAATAATGAAAAAAACCTTAATACCGAGCATAAATTATCCTATTTTAAAATAAAAAAATCGGAAATTAAGTCAGCATGAGTAAATATCAAGCAATTTTTAAAAAGTCAAAGTTATTTTACATCATTATAGTCGATATTTAAAAAACAGGGAAATAAATACTTTTTACTGAAAATTGTTCATCGCATAAGATTTTTAATTATTTAGGTTTTATAAATACATTTACATCACAATATTGGATGTAATTCTTATAGAAAAGAAAAATTGAGTTTCCCCCAAAAAATGCTCATGTAAATTTCTTTAATCTTTTTTTTTTTAGAAGTTTATTTAATACTTAACCAGTTTTGAAAAGAAAATAATTCATTTTTATTAATTAACAGGGATAAAGATATCTTAAATCAAAGCTTAATTGACAAAAGCAGATAAAGTTAGCGTCAAAAATATAATTCACCATGAAGAATGAAAATAAATAATTAAAAATGATAATTTGTACAAGGGTATACAGAATACCCTGGAGGTAATATTAATAAAATTCATATACAAAGTATTTATGTCATAATATACACAATATAGTTACGGGAACACAATTTCATGGAGTATGAACTTCAGCCACAGTAACTTGTTCACAGAAACTCACTTTTTTATGATCTAAAGAAGAGTTCATATTTGACTCGGAAGATGGTTTAATTATTGCACAAGCACTTGAACTACTTTCATCTGAGAAACAGTCACTAGAGCAATGGCTGTTAGAACCATCCTCTTCTGTTGGAGGAAAACTAAAAAATAAAATTCGACATAAACTAAACATTTAAAAAAGTTACACCTATTACACGAACACAATAAATATTAAACAATTTCATGCCAATGAATTTCAAATAATTTTGCGATTAAAAAGAGTGTTTCTCTTTTAAGTTACATTTCAGTTTGACAACAAGATTTTCACACAGGGTTTTTACCCACTCCCAAATGGGTTTTGTTAATTTATAATCACTATCTGCTGTTTCTTTAAATCTACAATTATTTCTTATTCTACTTCATATATACATAATTTTACCTCAAAACTTGGTGGATAACTTTAATACTGAGAAATAAAAAACTAACCTAATACATATTGTCTATGTGAGATTAAATCTAAGCTATATTGATTTTGGAATTTAAGTAAAATTAGTTCTCTCTCACTCTATACATGAATATTATTTAATTAAAGAGTAGTTCCGTAATAAGTTAGCTTGGTAATTTACTGACATTATTTTATGAATTTCAAGAACAATAGAAAAACAACCTAAAAAAGACACAATCACCTTTTATCACTGGTTATAGAAGGAAATAAATGCTGGGAATTTTATATCAATACCTGCAGGCCTGTTAAGAGAAACCCTCCAACACGGAAGAGGGCGCTGCAAGTTATCAAAGCATCTGCAGATTAATTTTCATAATCATTAGATTATTAAAACAGGGAAAAAAATTGTTGACTTCGTTTTAAAACATCACTAATCTTATTTCTAATCAAAATTATGAAACCGAGTAGTGGGAACAATACAAAGAATAAAAATAAAACTTTTTTACTTGATAATTGATCACAGACTTATACTCTATAAGGATTTATTCCACTTTTTTTAAATATTATTGTTGATTCAAATTAAGTTTTGGAAACATAAAATTTTAAGAAATGTTGCTAACATATCTGTTAGAATAAACTGAATTTTTACAATAGTGATTTTTGTTTGTCATATCTCGCCAATAAATTCGGATGTATGAAAGCTGTGCTGCAGATTTACTGCATAAATTCAGCAAGAAAAGATGTTACTACATTATGAACACAGTTGTTATACATAACTACATATAAAGCTGTAGTTATTTAAAGTGAAAAAAATATTTTGATTTGTAAGTATGCATGTATATATTTATATATATACTATCAATCAACACCCTGGTCCTAGTTATTTTATAAAGAGATAATATAAACTGGTCTTTCAAGGGTTGGTATAGTTAGTCCATACAAAGAACTGCCCTCGCCATAAAGTTTAAAGCTGTCTGCTGCTATGGAAACAAGAAATAGCACAGCTTAAAGAGGTGAGCTTCTCTCTCTTTCTTGATTTACTTTCTCTCACCAACCTGAGACAAAACCTGTCTTAAATACTGATCTAGCAACCGTACTTCAAATAGTTAACTCTCGTAATCATAGTGACTGCCACTGCTCCAGTTGAATCGCCAAAGGAGTTTTTTCCAGGTGACTATACAGGCACTGCGTATAAAAGAAAAAATAACATTTAAGGACCCAGAAGGATCTTGAAACAGGCTTACTTCACCTTTTTGCCCAACAATCTTCTAAAATCCTTATGTTTAGATCATTAATTGTCTTAGTGTATTTGATTGCTATATTCTCTAGTAACAAAGTTTGAAACTTCATGTTTTATATTAAGTTTTTATCTTCTTAATACACATCATTACTCTAAATTTAATTTGTTGGTCGAATTTTGAAACACCTTGTATAAGGTTTTAAATTTAATTAAATATGTCTCAGTATTAATCATTCTATATGAATGTCAAATTTTATAAACATTTTATTTGGTTACATTGATTTTATTAATTATAATTCAAATATTACATATTCTGAAATAAAATTAATTCAATTTCTATTATTTAGATGTAATAATTAGGATATAAAATTACCTATTATAAAAGTCTGACAAAGAAGTCTGTATCTCACTAACTGTAGCTTTACCTTCAATTATGTCTTTTATTTTAGACAAAGAAAAAGTACTTTGCAAGAATAAATGCAGAGCTTTACTAGATAAGTACAATCTATCAGCCACTAATCTGGAGAAAAAACATACACAATTTAATAAGGTTTTCAAAATTCAAAAGAAACTTAAATGAAAATAAATTATAAAGCTAATCAATAACTTATTTAAACTAACCTTTGTTAAAAAAAAAAAACAAAAAAACAATAATTTTCATCTAAGATTTTTCTATTCTGAATGATAAAAAAGATCTTTTTACAAAACTTTAAAAAAAAAAAATTCCCAAACACGCAAATAAACAAAGCTTCAAAAAATCAGTATATAGATGAAATCTCCATCAGTCGAACAAAAGAAAACTAAAAAATTTTAAGCAAAACAAAAATTTAAGAAAGGCAAGTAACACAATAAGAAAATTTTGAAAGTAACACAATAAGAAATTTTTTTTTAAATAAGGATTTTAAAAATAAAATGATATCAATAACATCAAGGATTATTTTTTTCACAGTAGAAAGATATTTTTATACAAAACTTTTCAAAAAAAATTTTTTTAGGGAAATCTAAAAATGATTCATACGTATTTATACAAGGGCGCTGTTAGCTGCTACTCACTAACTCCAATAATTGCTTTGCAACAACTGTTGTTTCTAAGCGTAAAATAGTTTTTCCTATGATACAGTTAACAATAACTTAAAATATATCTACTTTAAAGAGTTCTGTTAGTGTCTACTCGTGCCTCCCCCCTTCTCATATCTAACATTTATTTCTTTAAATTAAATGTTTATTTTTAAAAAAATTGAATGATTCTGGTTAAGGCATTTTCTATTTCATATACCATCATTTTGGTAAAATATCGATAGAACATCTTACGTAAAAAGAAAAATTAAATAAATTAAATGAAAATAACCTTATCTCATCTACATCCCAACAGTCATGAAAACTTTTTTTAAAGGTTTAGTTTTAAAAAATTCCGAAATTTAGAACATGTTTTTTATTTATATAAGCACACAATAAATTTTTTTAGAATGATATCAAATAAAACATTGCTCGATTGAAAATTATGAAATTTATTATTCTTTTAAATTTTTTTGTTGTTGCACAAATGTTATAATAACTGGTTGGGTAATAAATCCAAGTTTTACTAGGTACCCAAAGCTGGCTGGAGAAAAGAGATTAGATTAATACAGAATATCTGACAAAATTTATTGACTTCTATAAAATTAGAGTCAAAAATTTAGAAATTTTTTAAAACTTATAGTTATATGTTGCTTCAAAGGCAAAGACATTTAATTTATTAAATTTTCAAGAAACTTCAATCAATATTTTGATTAATTTAAGTGACGATAAAACAACTATCTTTCAAAGTCTATAACAAATATATATGTAACAAAAAACATATAATTGGTAATGCAAATAAAAAAGATTGTATTTTAACTTTTAAATGCATTTTTGGAACATGGTTCTATTCAACATTGCCACAACAATGAAGCATTAATTAAGATAAAAATAGCAAATAAAATAATAAACAATGGTAACTTATGACAGATAACAAATCACATACTATCAGCATTTTATCATTTTTTCAACAGGTGCAAAGATAATTCATCCTTTCAGTTAATCAGTAAAATAAATTTAATTGTTAAGGAAGGATTTTGTTTTACTTTTCCAAATTAATGATATTATTCCATATACTAATTTCACACAATATGTTATCATAATACACACAATATGAGAAAAATTGTAACACTTTTACAGTAGTGGAATAATACAATATAATCAACTCATTAAAAAGGGAAAATATTAGCACAAAATAAATTATTAATTAAACCAAATCTGGCTGTCTTCTAGCAGTTAAAATATTTTTTTTTTAAATGGGAAAAAAAAATATTGATAAATATTTTGATGATCTTGCAAAAGTTTTATGGGGTTTATAGATTCAATAAAACTCTTTCTAAATAATCAATGATGCTAACTTGATAACTCAAAACAAATAATTAAAAGATCATTTGCACAAAGTATAATTGGGAAAAAAACATATTACAGTAGAATGCCCATTATCTGACTCGATGGAGTAGAAACCTATAAAGTAAATGAAAAATACGGGTGTTTGGCCAACTTTAGAAACCTTTTTTTAAAATTTAGACAGTTTTAGAACTTTTATGACTAAATTCTTTAAGTAACTTTCCTTCAGCTTTTTTTTTCTTTCCTGAAGCTTATGTTTTATTCGACACAAAAACACCTATTTGATCTACTTTTTTCAGCATTACAGATAAACTTCTTGAGATAATATTTGGATTTTCTTTAAACCTAATTTTCAAACACATAAAAAAAAAATTCAGATATTAAGAAAAAATATTTATAGAGAATCTGAAAATGCAGACAGAATTTTGTGAAAAAAATTTAAAAGGAAATCAAGGACAGCAGAAATTGTTTGAGCCCCTTCTAAAAATCTGAAGAGCAAGACAAAAGTTTGAGGGAAAATAAATTATGAGGACACCAAAGAACAAAAGGAGATTTTTGAACCTCTTCAGAGGAATCTGAAGATAGGCATTCATTAAATATCATTCATCAGGTTATGATTGAAGTCTGGAGTGACCATTTCAACTATTAACACCAAAGCTCAGATATAAAGCATTAAGAAGATAGAACAGTGTAGTAATTGAATAATTTACATTACTTTCTAAGAAATTCTTGCAAAGCTTCTTGTCTATCTTTTATGAGTTTCAGATCAAAGGTATCTTTAAACAGATCTTTAGGTGGTAAAAGTGGAAGCTTACTGAAAAGAAAGAAAATGCATTTGTTCAATGGAAAAGTTACAAAAGAATAAGTTAAAAGTAATCAAAATTAGACAGCACAAAATTTTGCTACACACTAAATCTTAAATATCTTAACAGAGTTTTAATTGTACTTATTTGTACAAAGGTAGGGAAATAGAAAATTTTGAGCATTAAATTTGACTACACTGTAGTGGTGACAACTGTTTAGAACCAAATTATGTTACTTTTAAATTCTTAGTTTCTAAATACTACTCTGTATATTTATAAAGTAAAAAGTTATGTGAGTATGTTATTATTTTTAAATCATAATAACTACAAAATATGCTTTCTACTACAATCTAATGGCTATACTGAGGCTTTGAACTTTTAAAATAGCACATAAATTAAAAAGATAGAGCTAGAATAAGATTTATCCAAATAAATAATGAATAATCCAAACATGAAAAATTTTATAATAAATATTTATGGTGAAAAAACAAATTTCCTAAGAAATTAAACTAAGATTCTAATAATAATAACCAAACACAAGAGTAATAACATTATTATTTACAGAGTAGTTGTAATAGTTCAAAACACAAAACTCATTAGTACAATAATTTATTACAAATTGCATTTAATAAAGTTTTATTCAAGATTTTCAGGAATTATAACAGACTATAAATACTAGGTATGAAAGAAAAACTGAACACACTATTTTTTTTAGAAAAAAAGCTAAATATTATTTTAAAGCAAATCTCAATGAAAAATAAAATAAAAGAGGTATAATTTGTATAGATTAGCAACAAATAACTGGAATTCAAAAAGTATTATAAATATACTCACTGTGGTGGAAACTGCTTTCTTAGAAGCTTTCTTAACAAAACAAATTCAGAGTATCTCCTACGTGTAGTACTTTTTTGAAATGAAAAGGAAGGATCATTGGTCTGTAAAAAATACAAATAAAATTTATATATATACACATTATGTGTAATTTTTACAATTTAGATGTCAGCGATAAGATAACTATTGCACAATTTAGCAGCTATTTTAATAGATTTAGCAGCTTTTGTCTGCACATAGGGCATGTGTTGTGTTCTCGGAATCCTTCACATGAGCATTTCTGGCAAAACAAATGTTTACATGTTGTTCAACAGAGTTCAGCAAGTCATTCCAACATAAACAAACTTCTGGCTATTTGATCTATATTTTCTTATAACTCGTAAATACATGAACTGCATAACTTCCTATCACTCTATCAATATTTCAGAATTCTGTTACCATCCACACTTTCTTTTCTGTTTCCCACTGATGGCAGTCACACACTTTTTACACAATATCTTTCAACATTTCTCGGCAGTTGGCCCAGGGATATTGAAAGTATTGACGTATATAAAGAAAAAAAAAATAGTATAACAAACTTAATTGTGCTAAAAAAAATTTTTTATATACATAAAAATTCATGCTTACTTCTAAGGCAATTTCATAACTAACATAATTGCCAGCTTCTTTTATAGGAGTTTGTACCCTCAAATCAATATATAACTGCAAATAAGAAGAAAAAGAAAAGTGTTTTAATACCTTGTGATGAAGCTAAATACTTTATAGCAAACTAACTAAATATCTTATAAAAGAAAGAGCATTTTAATATATTTATTGCACTAAATAAGAATGTTTTAATTTAGTGTTGTTGTTAATTATTGTTGATTTAACTTGTTGAAGCATAATTACAACAATAATAATATTAAATATGATTTACAGCTTCATAAAAATCAGAGATGTAAAAGACTTTATTTTATTTAATCCCCTGCATTTAATAGCTGTATCATTTCTCATTTACAGCTAACAATGATCAATATTGTAGTCTTGTAATTTAAAAATCAACTGAGAAGACAATCAAGACCCCAAGACAACCTTGCCTTCATGCAGAACTTATTTATGAAACTAATTGGCATATATATATACAGTGAGACCTGTTTTTGTGCGGTCCTTTTTTATGCGATTCTGTTTTTGTGCGTTTGGTTTTATGCGATTTTATTTTTGTGCGATTTTTTTTGTGCGAATTATTTTTATGCGGTATATGAATCTTAACGGCGTTAGCACCAGTTTAATGTTTCCTATCAATGTGCATATGCATGTTGTGGACGAACTCTGATTACGTGGTCTCCTTGACAACGATGTATCTGAACTTCGCGATGCTCTGTTTATTTACTTTCATTAGTTCATTTATTATCGTCAACTCCATTTTCTCTTCTGTTTAAAATTTATTCTGCGCTAAACAAGTTGAAGTAAATCAGTAAAAAATCGTTTGCTGTGTTAAAATATTTAGTATTTTAAAATTAAACCGTTTAAATTCTCGTCTGCGTGTATCTCAAATACTATACGCTTCGTATTCAGAGTTTTATACACGATTCACGTGATTAAGGATTCATTTTATAGTGAGATTAAAGGTAAAAAAATTAATTACTTTTGTTTCTATTTATATGTAGTTTTTATGATTTTTATTTCATTTTATTTGATCACTGACTTTATGGTACCAAAAAACAAATCAATTGAAATCCTATCTTCAAGCGATTTTCAACCAATTCATTCCAAGAAGATGCGCGTTTTGGATTACGACGAGTAGCAGCAAACTATTTAATGAAATTTGAAAACTTCTACATGTATATGTATAATGAAGAATTAAATATTTTTAAAATTTCTTTAAGTCTAATTTAATTATTTAATCCTATTGAAAGCATTCTCTTATCTATTTCATAAATCATTGATGTATTTTCTGAGTCCGACTTTTTTTATGCGGTCCCTATCAACCGCATAAAAAAAGTTTTTGGTGGTATATGGTACAAACTTGTTTATTACATGTCAGAATTTATAAAATTTTCTAATTTTTTTTTGTGCGATTTCTTTTATGCGGTCCCTATCCACCGCACAAAAAAAGGTTTTACTGTATATTACACGGAGAGGAAAACTTTGCATGGTATGTCCAATGGAAAGGATATTACAATCTAGGATCTGTTTAACATAGGATGGGCATTTTGTTTAGAAGCTAGGGGAAGAAGAAAAAAAAAAAGAAAAAACAGTGGAAATTGGGCAAAATGGAAAAAACTAAAAATAACAAAATAACCAATTCAATTGTTTAGCAATAAAATAATTTTTAAAAAAAAAAAAAGATAATACTAAAAAAAAGTTTAAATTTAAATAAATTAATATACTACCAGGAAAATTACATTGTCCTTATTTTTCACATCAATTTTAAAAGAAAATTTTTTATTTTGGTATTATTTATCTATATAGATGGATTATAAATATAGGTGGATTATAAATTATATCCACCATATAGGTGGATTATAAATTTTAAAATTCTACATAAAATTTTAAAATTTACATCATATTATTTAAATTTGTTTGAATATTCATACTTATCAATATTTGATTAAAAAATCAGCACCCATACTATTTGTAATTATGAATTTAATATGTAATTAGTAGTAGTGTTTACATTTAGGATGTGATTTGCTAATTTAGTAACAATAAAACTTTATTATATAATAATAATTCCCTACATAATTATAAAATAAGGCTTTATGATACAGCATATACTTATATACAAATATTAAAGGACAGTCATTTAAGTTTCTTAAAAAAACTCATCAAATTTATCTTTCTCTCCAATTGTGATGTGAATGTGTAACATAATTGAACATGATTCATTAAAAAGCTTAGAAATTAATATTATTACATAAATTAGCTTGCAAACATAAGCTATTTAGAAAATTGTTTTAATATTTGATATTTCTTTTTGAAAAAGATCTTTTTTTCCCACTTGAGTTGGAAAAAACTTGCCATTCTTGGTTTAACATAAAAGATATTTGTGTCACTCTTGTTATCAACACAAATCAGGATTTAAACCTGGGTCTTTTCAATGCGAGTTAGGGTTTGAACCTTTTCATTGGTGGGCAAGTATTCTCTGATTCGAGCCCTCAAGTCTCAATGTCAGAAATTGTCAAGAACATTTTAACTGAATAGATCCAGGCTGAAATATGAAAATTTTTAACTGACATTTAACAAAATTAAGTTTAAAAATTTAAATTAAAATTTTTATTTTTAGTAACAAAAAGTAAACAAATAAAATAAAACTACAAATAAATAAAATAATTATAGTAAATAAATAAAAACTATCCAAAGAATCTTAAAGCATTCGCAATAGATTTGAGAATTTAGATTTCACACAGCTCTTAAAATACTGTAGAACCTTTTTCAATCCTTTCTCATGGGAACTACTCAATGAGCACGATAAATACGGGAAAATGAGGACTCAACATAAAACAATAAGTAACGACTAGAAAATGCATGAAAAGTAACAAAGAGATAACATACTTTGAGATGAATAAGTTTACTATAAGAAAAAAATCCATTGAAAAAATTATGTACATAATACCAAAGTACTTACAATGCAAAAGAATGTTTAGAACATTTATTTCAAATATTTTAACATATTAGTTCAAGTACACTCTTTTCTTCCCAGTGGAAGAAAAATTAATTAATTAATTAAAAATAATGTAAATAGAATATAAATAACGCAAATAAAATAAAAATAAATAAATTAATAAATAAAATAAAAGATAAATCAAATAATAATTTTGACAGAGTGCTGATTATTCTCTGCACACTAGTATAAATAAAGTAGGTTGCCAATTGTTTAAAAGGTTTTGAAACCTTCTGCAAGTGTTGGCACTGGTTGCGGCTCCATTTTGTTTTTATTGGTACCACTTTGCACTTCTAAAACTTTTGAAACAGTATCTTGAACCAAAAACACTATAAGCTTTAACATTTTCAATAGCTGATGCATAAACATAAAACATGCTGTTTTAGCCTTTTAATTGTAACTGTAACAAATCCTTATATTATAAGTTATCATTAGCATAAGGAGTTACTATATTTCTTCTCAAAATGAAATAACTTTTTTTTATTTTTTATATGTTGGTAGATTTTCTGAATAATAAGAGGTGAAAATTCACAAATTTATAAAATTATCTCAATGGGACATTATAAGAATAGCATTTGCAATAGAACTGTTAACACAAGACAATACACACGGAAAAAAAAAAGATACGGAAACAATGAATTGATCAATGAACCCTGTAATTGAAACCATACATTCAAAGCGCTACTTAATGTATAATATATCGTTTACACTATTTCCGTGTTTTCAAACATAATTTTTATTAATTTTAAATAAATAATAAAAAAAATTACAAAAACTAACCAAAAGAATCGTAAAGATTTTAGACATAGAATTTTAAAATATAAGAAGCATAGAGGCTATAAAATAAAAATTTTACTTAATACAAAAAAAAAAAAATTTTCATACTTGTTTACAAAAAATTTCTGTCATTTTAAGAATTGTTTATAGTAATTTTTAATAAAAAAATATGTAAATGTATAAACAAATAAATAAAAACTAACAAAAGAATTTTAAAGCATTCTGAATAGATCCAGACAACTCTTAAATATTTGAAACCATATATAATTAAAATACTACTTAATATACAAAATATCTTTCATACCATTTCTGTCAATTCAAGCATCATTTTTTAATAATTTTTAGTATAAATAAATAAAAATAGAATCTTAAGACAATCTGAATAGATATTAGAATTTAAATTCAAACAGCTCTTAAAATATTTGAATCTTTGAAATCATATAATGAAAGTATACTTAATATAAAAAAAAAATATCTTTTATACTTGTTCATCATCCATTTCTGTCACTTCAAGCATCATTTTGGGGAGATAAAACTGACACCTATAATTACAAATTTATGTCATTANGCCTGAATAAGAAATTGGCGGGCCACATGCGGCCCGCAGGCAGCCAGTTGGACAGCCCTGCAATAGCTGATGCTTAAACATCAAACGCGCTGTTTTAGCTTTTTTATTGTAACTGTAACAAACTCTTATATTATATGTCATCATTAGCATAAGGAGTTACTATATTTCTTCTCAAAATGAAATAATTTTTATTTTTAATATGTCGGTAGATTTTCTGAATGATAGAGGTGAAAATTCATAAGTTTAAAAAATTATCTCAATGGGACATTATAAGAATAGCATTTGCAATAGAACTGTTAAAACAAGACAATACACATGGGGAAAAAAAGATACGGAAACAATGAATTGATCAATGAACCCTGTAATTGAAACCATACAAGTGTTACTTAATGTAAAATATATTGTTTACCCTATTTCTGTATTTTCAAACATCATTTTTATTAATTTTTAATAATAAATAAATAAAAAATTACAAAAACAAACCAAAAGAATCGTCAAGATTTCAGACATAGAATTTTAAAATATTAGAAACATAGAGGCCATAAAATAAAAATTTTACTTAACATAAAATTTTTTTTTTCATACTTGTTCACAAATAATTTCTGTCACTTTAAGAATTGTTAATAGTAATTTTTAATAAAAAAATATTTAAATAAGTAAACAAATAAATAAAAACTAACAAAAGAATTTTAAAACATTCTGAATAGATTCAGACAACTCTTAAAATATTTGAAACCATATAATTAAAATACTACTTAATGTACAAAGTATCTTTCATACCATTTCTGTCAATTCAAGCATCATTTTTTATTAATTTCTAGCAAAAATAAATCAATAAAAACTATAAATAGAATCTTAAGACAGTCTGAATAGATTCTAAAATTCAAATAGCTCTTAAAATATTTGAATCTTAGAAACCATATAATGAAAGTATACTTAATATGTAAATAAAAAATATCTTTTATACTTGTTCATCATCCATTTCTGTCACTTCAAGCATCATTTTGGGGAGATAAAACTGACACCTATAATTACAAATTTATGTCATTATTTTGTAAACACAGTAATGTAGAGCAAATGGAAAAAATAGCTATCAAGTTTTCATAATCAATTGTAAAGATTAGTTATCTCAGAAATTTTTTTGAGTCACATTAAATGAATGTACAAAAAGCAATTAGCTTTTATAGAGTGAAGATCATTTTTAGCAGAGACCTCGAATAAAAGCACAACGGCTTATGAGTTGTTAAATTTATTTAGTGTATAACAACAATATGCTGATCTTCGACGATTATATATGCCCATTAGTCAAAGTAATTTAAATTGTAATTCATGTAAACAAGTTTAAAGAAATATTCTAATGATCAGAAGATATAATTACTTTAGAAATGAATTTCAAAATCATATACTTACCATTTTCAAAGAAAGCAGCGCATTAACAAACAACAAAAATTGTAAATAAATAATATGTTTATTAGAAAATGACTTTAATGAAAATTAATCCTTAAATTACTTAAATAGTTTATATAGATAAAAACTATTATCATTTGCATAACAACTAAGTATTGAACAATGTTTCTAAATCCTTAAGTAATAGTAACCTAATTATTCACGAAAAGCTGTTACAGTTATTGCATCACATTAACGATGTTAATGTTGTAGCATAATTTAGAACTTCAATTTAATTTTGAAAGTAAACATGTATCATCTGATGCGCACATTTGAGTATAAAATAAAATTAGCAGGAAAGACTAACTTTTTTCAGAGTAAAACAAAAAAATAAAACTTGATTACAAACCTTTAACGCAATAAGACTAAAATTAACTGATAAGCGAGGGATATTCCCATTTCATTGTTTCGCTTTCACTAGGTGACAACTTAGCACGAAAGTGAAATTCCAATTATTTGACATAAAGATAGAGAACAATAATATTTTTTCACATAACCACAGATCAGATAATACACATGATTCATATAAACACGAAAACAAAAATATCGATTAGTCAATCGATTATTTTTATCTATTTCGATACAATTTATCGTTACATTTTAATTTCAATGAATTAAAGTCAACTATTTATCGATATATTTATAATAAAGTTCTCAACACTTATTAGTTCTGCCATCTTTCCCATCGATACAGAAGTTCTGCTATTTTTTTACTAAAAGGTATGAAAAAATCACTTTGATTTGAAGTCAATTATAACAAAAGGAATAAACAATTTCGAAGACACTTAATATACCTGTAGAAAGGACACAGCAATTAAAGCTATTAGTGAAAATGATAGCAAGGCAAAAAATTAATGCACATTCACAAAAATAATGCAAATCATTTCTCGTTGCAGAATGGCTGGAATCTAAAAAAAAACTGGCCAAAAGTTTAAAAAAAAAATTGTTAAAGCGTTTTATATTCTTGATCATAATTATTTTTTGGTGTCAATTGAACAATGTAATCACAAAGAAAATACTTATTCCTTTTATCTTTCTAATTTGAATTAGATCCATGAGTTTGCTCGACTGCGCGTATTCCACTGAGTTGTTTGTCCTCTACGCCTCGTACTCATCTGGACCAGGCGTTTTTTGTTGTTGTTACTTTTATATGAAATATATATAT